AGTTCGGTATCCAAGGCTCTTGTTCATTCAATTTGGTGGAAAGCAGAAAACACAAGAGAGATTTTCTTAAAAAAGGACTATATCACCTGTTCCACTTCCTAGCAGCTTATCTGCCTTTGATGATCCGCAGGAGCCTTGTTTTCTTGACAACCCCAAATTATCTGATAGTTCTGTAAATGACCCAACAGTTCTCATAATTCCATCCTGATACACGTTAAACATTAAAATTTATTAGTTATCAACATCTGCATTGCAAGATTAAGAAAGCCCTTGAAGGGGCCTCATGTGCCTTTACAAGGAACATATCAAAACATGGGCAGTACCAAACAAATGATCCAAGGGAACATATGTGATTGCAATATAGCAAGGTAACAAAACAAGCTCACCTCCAATGATACAATCGGGTGGTATCCAAGTAATCTTCTGGCTCTTGAAGTGTTAAAGGTTCTAGTGCATGACAAGAAGTATATTGTATCTGGATGGAGAAGAGGGGTGGAAAGCATTTGAAAACCAAGCCTGTGATGAATCATTTTGGAAAGCAAGGCTGCAGACAGTAACATCTTGGCAGGAAGATTAATCCTGGGCCTAAATGGATGAGAAACCACAGCACATGTTAACTTCACAAGTTGCCTTCAAAGAGTAGGGAGGGGCAAAGAGGGAGGGAGAAATACCTCTGACAACCCATGGCTTCCATCATGCAATTCATAAACTCCCATGTTTCCATAGGTTCATCATTGGTAACAAAAAATGTCTGTAAAAGTTCAGTGTGCAGAATTAACCATAAAAGTAATATGGCTAAACATAGCCCTTTTATCTCTAAAAATGTACCTTCCCAGCTACAGAAGCTGCATTCGAAGACAAGGCTTGGTCAGCACAAATATTGGCATGGGCCACATTTTCCACATAGGTAAAGTCAGACATGTTACTGACATTGCCTATTACAAACTGAAAAGAACTACATAAGAAAACTAGTATTTCATAGTTTGAAGAAGCATGGGGAAAATTTCCAGGTCATGTTTTATAATAGCAAAATCACAGGGACAAAGTGAACTTCATATTGGAATACCTTGCCCAAGGGAGACCTTGCATATCCAGCAACAAACCTCACCAAGCTGGAATCGCCCGGACCGAAGAGATTGCTCGGCCGCAGCACGCACGTCCTCATCCCGTCCACCCCGTCCGCACCCAGTACCATCATCTCCACCTGCGCCCTCAGCTCGCTCAACGCATTCCCGAACTGCGCCGACAGCCAAAACCCACGAGGCCCGTCAGCCCAATGGCACCTCCAAGCCCAAGGATCCCAAAGCCGAGCAGATCACGGAGTAACCAAACCTTGTCAGGGTAGGGCGCGGAGTCCTCGTCGGCATTGATCACATCGCGGGCAACGGCAGCGACCACGTCGGCCGAGCCGGTGTACACCACCCTCTCCACGCCGGCGGTGCGGCAGGCCGTGAGGAGCCGCCTCGTGCCCTCGACGGCGAGGCGGTGCAGGGAGAGGAAGGACCCGTCGCTCCCGGAGGCGGTCGCTGTGGTGGCGTCCACATGGAAGACAGCCGCGGCGCCGGCGAGTGAGGAGACGAGGCGCTCGGGGTCCGCCGAGAGGTCGACGTCGTGGTGGTAGACGAAGTGGGAGGCGGGCGGGCCGGGCGGCGGGGACGGCGAGGTGGGGGAGGAGGGGTCGAGGATGGCGACGGCGGACCAGCGGCCGGAGGCAGCGAGCGCCGCGGCCAGGTAGCGGCCGAGGAGGGTGGAGCGGCCGAACGTGACGGCGCAGGCGGGCTTGGGCTTGGGCGGGCCGGGCTCGGCGGTCGCCATCGGTGGTGGGGTGGGAGTGTGGAGGGACATCTAATTATTTGCCACTCTTACGGAGGCCGCCTCTCTGATTGCCAACTTTATGGTGGCAACTACAAAAATGTCTCAGAAAATAGTAATTCGCCTAATTTTTTGCCATTTTTGCTGACGTGGCATGCCAGATCAGCCAGCCAGCTTGGGAACGGGTCGTTGACGCTCGAAGACCGAAGGCAAAAGACCATTGTGCCCCCGCCGTATATTGCTTAACGAGCGCCATCTCCCCCCATCTGCTCAGTCGCAACTGTTTTCGAAGGATCTCAGGGGCTAGACTGCAAATATAGTTTGACTGGACGGTTGAATAGCCAACAAAGATGACGTGGCTGCTGACCGAGTACGTGGCGCATGCTGATTGGAAGATAAAAGATGATGTGGCCTCAACATGACTTTGGTTGACCAACGGTCAAGATGAAATTGTGGCCGTCGATCTGGGAACGGATGGCCAAGAGGAGCCTCTGCTCTGGTTGTCTTCACAGCAGCAGAGACGTCGGCGTGGTGGTGCTCCCGTGCGGCGGGGGCTCGACGGCGTCGGCCGGGTTGCGGCTCCGGTGGCCGGGGACGCGCGGCGACCGGCGGAAAAGGAAGAGGCGACCGCGGCGTGTATGTTGGTGGTCCTCTTTGTCGTGAGATGGCTCGGGTGGTCTGGAGACGCGACGAAGCAGCGAAGAGTGCGCGCAAGGAGACGGTGGTGGCGGAGCTCGGTGGAGTTCGATGATGCGGCCACGGATCGACGATGAGGAGTAGCGGGGTGAGCTCGTGGCGACCCTGCGGTGCCGGCGAAGAACCGATCGAGTCCAGAGGTGGTGGGAGGTGGGAGATCACGAGCTCGAGCCGACCCGACAATGGCGGTGACGGCGAAAGTTGAAGTCTTTGGCGGGAAAGAAGTTGCGGGGAGGCGAGAGAAAGCGGCGTGCACTTGCGACCTCGTTCCAGCTTTTTATAGGGAGATGAACGATGAACGTGGACGGAAATGGAGCTCGGTTCATTGCCATCAATGGCGGCCGGAGTAACGGACAGAGGAAATGGAGGGACGTCCATTTGATGTAGGGATATTGAAGAGCAACGTTATAGCAGCACTATTATGGAATTTAATTGCCGCAGGAGTAAAGGAGGTGGGCTCTTTGGAGCTCGGATTCTCCGTTAATGGAGAAAGAGAGAGGAGGAATTTCGACGGAGGTTGAAGACAACATGACAGTGGTGGCCCTACCGGCGGTGAGCAGAGCGAGAGAGAACCGTTGGGACCGAGCATATGGGAGGAGACAGCGCTCGTTAAGCAGCAATACGGCGAGGCGAGAATGGTCTTTTGCCTTCGGTCTTCAAGCGTCAACGGCCCGTTCCCAAGCTGGCTGGCTGATCTGGCATGCCACGTCAGCAAAAATGACAAAAAATTAGGTGAGTTACTATTTTCTGGGACATTTTTTTAGTTGCCACCACAAAGTTGACAATCAGAGAGGCGTCCTCCGTAAGAGTGGCAAATAATTAGATGTCCCGAGTGCGGAGGTGGGGGACAAGAAGAAAGAAGAAATGGGGAGAGCACGAGGGGTTTTCGTTTCACAATCTTTGGCTGCTTTTGTTTTACTTTTTTTCCCCCAAAAAAATCAAGACCAGGTAAGCACTGCATCCATATGTGCTGGAACATTGAGCTCCCCGTCGACATTTGTGTACATAGTTCGATCTTACTTTTGCGTGTAAATTGTTTCGATCTTTGGCTCTAAGAGATTGGAGCTTGATGATAATATGATTTTTTTGAAGCAAGATAATACGATTTTTCACGAGCTTAGGATGCAGGTTTAGGATCGAATCTCTGTTCCATGAGCTTTGAAATGATTCCATATGTATACATCAGTTTAAATTACATGACTAGAATAAACTATGACATGCATTGATGCGTAGGCATTCGAGCTTAATCGTGTCGAACTCGAACAGCTCATGGAATCCCAAGCTGGCCAGCTTTCAGCACTGTTTGATACAGGGACTAAAGTCCAGAAGCTATCACATCGGGTGTTATATGTATGCCATATCGAGTGTTTGATACTAATCATAAAACTAATTACAGAAGCTATAACTAATTCACGAGACGAATCTATTAGGCCTAATCAGTCCATCATTAGCGCATGTTTACTGTAGCACCACATTGCCAAATCATGGACTAATTAGGTTCCATAGATTCGTCTCGTAAATTAGTTTAAATCTGTATAATTAGTTTTATAATTAGTCTATTTTTAACACTACGTTAGTGTCCAAATATTTAATGTGACAGACTAAACTTTAGGGGGCAACCAAACACCCCCGACTTGGACAACCCAAAGAACAGCTGGCCTGACCGCTTGTTATTAGCGAAAACAAAAAGACAAGCTAAAAAGTACCGTTCGCTGATTTATTTGCTAATTTATTGTGAGAGAAAAATATCGTTCTTTAGTTGAAAAAATAGGGCTAAAAAGACAAGCTAACAGGGCCTGATTAAACTTTCCACCTGTTCCGGGTATAACATGTCAAGCTCGCTGATTTAACTTTCGGCCTGTTCCGGGGGATCAACATGTCAATTGCACAATTTGGTTAGCGGTAAACTTCCATAGTACCACGAGCTCAGAGTACAGCGTGACAGAATCATGGCACACCATGCTAATGCCTCTTTCGGTCGGTGACGCATCACATCGACCATGATTGATGATTGAACGGCAATCTTCCAAAATGTGACGTAAAATCCAAGCCTCGCATTCATGCCATCAAGCAAAGGACCCCCAATAAGCACCTTTCATATCAGTACCCTACAAGTACATTTCCAAGCATTGCACTGTTGATACCATATTCATACGGCTAAGAAACATGGATCCATGCAAATTGCAATGCAATGCATTCAAGTATTGAATAAGAACTGAAGATTGACTATGAAACGGCTAAGTGGCGGTTTTTTTACAGAGGGTAGATGATAGCAGAACACATTTACTTGTAGTAGTCAAAAGAATCACTGATTGCTATAGACAAGCACTGCCCAAGCTACATACACTCGACATAATTTTGCCGAAGCATTTCAAAATCTAGCTCAAACATATATACCTTCCTTTCCTCCTATGTTTCTTGTGACTTAGAGGTTCTCTGTCTGAACTTTAACAAGATATAGGTCATATGTCACGAGAATTTCCTTTTGTTAGTCAGAAGTTATCTTTTGCTCGACGGACAACTTCAAGCACCCGATCTTCATCGAAATGATCTGGAATGGACAGTGTTCTCTTAATTTCTGGGTTGGAGGTCCGCAAAAAAGGATTGCATTCCTTCTCCCTTCCAATTGTTGTTGGCACCTGCAAACATGAAATTTGGATTAAGGATTTAAGGTCAGCGTAGAAGGTGGAAACGTTCTCGACTTAAGTATTGCAGAGAGATCATGAAATAAATTATGATTTTTATGAAATGTTCAAAAGAAAGAATGGAATCAAGGACTTTTAAAGTAAACAAAGCTAGAAATGCATAATTTCATGCTTAAGAAGCACTAGCTCGTCACAAAGACTGAGATAATATTACCGTGGGTATATTCTTATTACGCAACTCAGCTGCATTTGCAGCATATTCCTGCAATGCTTTATTTCCTGGTTCTACACTCAAGGCAAACTTTGAATTACTCTGCACAGAGGAACATCAGGCATTAAATAACAGATCGATGCAGGAAACTGGAAACGAAATGAAAAATTACTCACCAAGGTATATTCATGCCCACAGTATACTTTTGTATCATCTGGTAGAGCTGTAATTTTCTGGAGTGAGGAATACATCTGCAATGAGGCAGGCTGAAATGGTCATGTAATCTCAAAGATACATGGAACAATATTTTCCATACTTTCTACGAAAAAGAAGTCACTGAGCCATAGATGGTAAATAGAACTACTAAGAGTTAACAACCTTCTAGATTTTTATTAAATGATTAAAGTCCATCATATGAATAATTAGATTTAATCACAATTATCCCCATGTTCAAACAAATGAAAGTACAAATACTGACATACAACAAAGCCTTTAAGTCCCCAACAAGTTAGGGTAGGCTAGAGTTGAAACCCAGAAGCAATCAAGGTTCAAGCACGTGAATAGCTGATTTTCAAACACTCCTATCTAAGGTTAAGTCTTTGGATATATTCCATCGTTTCAAGTCTCCTTTTATTGCCTCTACCCAAGTCAACTTCGGTCTTCCTCTGCCTCTCTTCACGTTGCTATCCTAGCTTAGGATTCCACAACGCACCGGTGCCTCTGGAGGTCTCCTTTGGACATGTCCAAACCATTTCAACCGGTGTTGGAAAGCTTTTCTTCAATTGGTGCTACCTCTAATCCATCACGTATATCATCGTTCCGAACTCGATCCCTTCTTGTATGACCGCAAATCCAACGCAACATGCGCATTTCCGCAACACTTATCTGTTGAACATGTTATCTTTTCGTAGGCCAACATTCTGCACCATACAACATAGCAGGTCTAATCGTCGTCCTATAAAACTTACCTTTTAGCTCCTGTGGTACCCTTTTGTCACATAGGACACCAGATGCTTGGCGCCACTTCATTCACCCTACTTTGATTCTATGGCTAACATCTTCATCAATATCCCCGTCTCTCTGTAGCATTAATCCTAAATATCGAAAGGTATCATTCCTAGGCACTACTTGACCTTCCAAACTAATATCTTCCTTCTCCCGAGTAGTAGTGCCGAAGTCACATCTCATATACTCAGTTTTAGTTCTACTGAGTCTAAAACCTTTGGACTCCAAAGTCTCCCGCCATAACTCCAGTTTATAATTCACTTCTGTCCGGCTTTCAATCAACTAACACTACATCATCCACGAAAAGCATACACCAAGAGATATCCCCTTGTATGTCCCTTGTGACCTCATCCATCACTAAGACAAACAGATAACTCAAAGCTGACCCTTGATGTAGTTCTATCCTAATCGGAAAGTCATCCGTGTCTCCATCACTTGTTCGAACACTAGTCACAATATTGTTGTACATGTCCTTAATGAGCCCGACGTACTTCATTGGGACTTTATGTTTGTCCAAAGCCCACCACATAACATTCCTTGTTATTTTATCATAAGCCTTCTCCAAGTCAATAAAAACCATACGTAGGTCCTTCTTCTTCTCCCTATACCGCTCCATAACTTCTCCAAGTACAAATACTAACATAATGTAGAACAAACTTCAAGTTCATAGACCGTTTTTAACCTTTTATATACCTATCTTGCTTACTCATGCTTACACGTTCTAATAGTTGCAGTGGAGAAATAATTTAAGTTCAATTAACAAATTCAGAGGATATTCAAAGTTGTACTAATTACCGGGGAATTAAGTTGATGAGCCATACTATGAAGCTATGGGAAAGAGTTATCGAGCATCGCTTGAGAGCAATAACGCGGGTCTCTATGAACCAATTTGGTTTCATGCTCGGAAGGTCAACCATGGAAGCCATTTTCTTAATAAGACAAGTTATGGAACGGTATAGGGAGAAGAAAAAGGACCTATACATGGTTTTTATTGACTTGGAGAAGGCTTATGATAAAATACCAAAAAATGTTATGTGGTGAGCTTTGGACAAACATAAAGTCCCAACAAAGTACGTCGGGCTCATTAAGGACATGTACAACAATGTTGTGATTAGTGTTCGAACAAGTGATGGAGACACGGATGACTTCCCGATTAGGATAGGACTACATCAAGGGTCAGCTTTGAGTTATCTGTTTGCCTTAGTGATGGATAAGGTCACAAGGGACATATAAGGGGACATCCCTTGGTGTATGCTTTTCGTGGATGATGTAGTGCAAGTTGATGAAAGCCGGACGGGAGTGAATCAGAAACTAGAGTTATGGCGGGAGACTTTGGAGTCCAAAGGTTTTAGACTCAGTAGAACTAAAACTGAGTATACGAGATGTGACTTCGGTACTACTACTCAGGAGGAGGAAGATATTAGTTTGGAAAGTCAAGTAGTGCCTAGGAAGGATACCTTTCGATATTTATGATCAATGCTACAGAGAGACGGGGATATTTATGAAGATGTTAGCCATGGAATCAAAGCAGGGTGAATGAAGTGGCGCCAAGCATCCGTGTCCTATGTGACAAAAAGGTACCATGTAAGTTAAAAGGCAAGTTTTATAGGACGGCGATTAGACCTCTGCTATATGTTGTATGGTGTAGAATGTTGGCCTCATTTAAAAGACGTATATGTTCGATGAGATAAGTGTTATGAAATGCGATGTTATGCTGGATTTACGGTTATACAAGAAGGGATCGAAGTTCGAACGATGATATACGTGATGGATTAGGGGTAGCACCAATTGAAGAAAAGCTTGTCCAACACCGGTTGAGATGGTTTGACATATCCAACGGAGACCTCCAGAGGCACCCAAAGCATGTAGTGGAATCCTAAGCCGTGATAGTAACGTGAAGAAGAGAGGCAAGAGGAAGACCAAGTTGACTTGGGTAGAGGCAATAAAAGGAGACTTGAAAGGATGGAATATACCCAAAGGCTTAGTCTTAGATAGGAGTGCTTGGAAAACAACTATTCACGTGCCTGAACCTTGATGGCTTCTGCTGGGTTTCAACTCTAGCCTACCCCAACTTGTTTGGGACTTAAAGGCTTTGTTGTTGTTGTTGTTGTTGTAACAAATTCAGAAACTCAAACAAAAATGTTTGTTGTTCAAAATTAAGAGACTTCTTCGGTGAAATAAAAGCACTACAAAGGAGTAGCTTGTCACGGGAGTCCAGTAGCACCTTCACACAACATACATGTATATGAACATATTTGCAAGCAAGTAAAAAAACCTGCTGTGGAGTCCCTTCAAAAAGCTTTCCGCATGATAGATTGAACAAGGTGTCACCTGTAAATATAGCTCCAGAACCAGCAAAATAATAGCACACATGACCTGATAGAAATAAATGTAAAGTCAACGAAAAGCCTTTGTGTGCACTGAAGGAGTTAATCATTCAACTTTGAATGCAAGAACGAATATAAGACGAGTCATAAGAAAGTTTCAATCAAACACCTGATGTATGCCCAGGAGTCTCCAGTACAAGAACTTGATGGCCAGCAAACATCCATGTGTCACCCTCCTTAAGAGTGATGTCAATACCAGGTATTCTGTCCTTATCCTTCTCAGAACCAATTACCTAAAATGTATATGATCATCAGAAGACTAAATCAGACACACCGATCTTCATCTATATACAATTATCATTAAGTGTTTCAGGTGGCAGGAGCAATCCAGTGTATAAACAATGAAAACTAAAGGAAAAAGATTTGCATCAAACAGTTCCTTCATATCACCTAGAAAATCATCAAAACTTAGATTTGATACTGTAAGCAGAAGTCATGCCCAAACTTGTATATGCTCTGTTTTGAACTTCAGTTATATAATTCAATCTCGAAAACTATAAATATTGTTGAATTTAACAGATACTTTATTGATAAGAATAATATATGCTATAAAAAACACTCATAATAAGTCCATCCTTGGGTATAGCCCTATTGGTTTCACTTTAGCTCATAACAATACACATTTTGATTGTGTCACTGTCACATACTGTATCAAAGTCACTGAACGATACAGGAAAAGAAACAACAAAGAGAAAAGCCCAAAGCTATACCTTTGCACCATATTTTGCCTTCAATTCCAAGTTTCCACCAGTATGATCAGAGTGATGATGGGTGTTCAGTATATAAGTCAAGTTCTGGTTTCTCTTTTCCAATGCATTTATAATAGGCATAGCCTCAGAAGGATCCACAACTCCAACTGTTCCAGTATCAACATCATGCAGGATATATGCATAGTTATCTCGAAGGCATGGTACCTACAAATAAACCAGGACAGTTGCTGATGAATATTAAGGACACTCAGTAATGTGATTGAATGATAAGAAATATCTACAGACAGGAGGATAGTTATGTAAAGAGCAACAAGTTTGTGGTAACAACTGATTATGAGAAGTCATTCAAAAGATGTCCTATTTATTGTTTTGGCTATTCATAACAATGTCTGCTATTTCTTTATGATATCCACTATGACGATCCAGGCCAGGAGCCATGCTGTTCCATCAAAAGAAGTGTAGTCATTTGTGTGGAGGAAACTGTGAAAAATTAATGTGCAAATTCTGTGGGCCGCCGGCCGCTAATGTATGCTTGAGCTTGACAGTGTCAGTCTTAGAGATAGAGTCTAAGGGGTCTGGTCCACAACATCATAGTTAGGTATACAACAGAGGAACAACATAATGTCAAGTATGAGTAAAGCAGTAAGTGAGAGTGGATCAAGAATGAGACTTTTCATGTACACCAGCTCTTTCCTACTAAAAATGGCCTTATGAGTTATGACCTTGTATTTTCTTTCTACAAAGCAATGGCATCACAACTGGTTTAAATTAAAATAAAATCCGCAGAACTAACTGTCTTTACTGATGGCTTCTCTCCTAAAGAGCACCACCATGTCAATACAGAAACAGGGTGCTTACATCGATAAGCATTAAGCAAATATCAATAAGCATCGAGTCTTAAGTACTCGATGGCTAGCTAGAAGTCACACAGGCACTATTTCAGACCACTTACAAGCTCAATTTGCAGCGACGAAGAGACGCTGGTCATGTTGCAGAGGAACCGCCCTGCGCCAAAAACCCGACCCACTCCATACAGTGTCCTGAGTGGCATGACCAACAGGGTGCCGATTCCATACAGCAGCGGCTTCCCGGGCCATTGCTTCCGCACGCTTGGCAGCAAGGACGGCTGCCCCCTCATCTGCAAAACAACAGAAGCAGACCAAAATTTGTTACGACCAAGAATTCACAGAGAACTACTCACGCAACGGTGACAACCACCAAACCCATCTCCATGCCGCGCAAATCAACACAAAAACTAACTAACTAGCTCGAGTAGATGGAACAACTACAGAGCCGATAAACAGCCGGGCATCTCCGCAATAGCGCGGGAAGCCAGGGGCTGTCGTGCGAAACGACCCGTTCCGTTGGAACCGAGGCAGTTGCAGGCCACGGCGATGCGCCGTGATGGAAATCCCCAACCCCAGATCCAAACCCCCCGCCGAGACCCGAGAACCACGAAAAGGGAAGAGTTGATGTGCAAGGGGAGAGAGAGAGAGGGGCGACCGTGGGGGCGGCGGCGGAGGAGCAGCGCGGGACGGAGGACGCCACGATCGAGCACGCCTTCGACAGCATCCTCATCCCCGCTCCCTCCCTTTCGTTGCTCGCAGCGCTGCCGCCTTCCGAGGAGACGAGACGATGCGCTGCGTGCCGTGGGGAGCGAGGAGAGAGAAGAGGGGGAGGGGACGGCACGGCGAGTAGAGTAGTGGGAAAGGAAGGAGGCAGAGGAGGTTGGGCGGGCTCCTGTTGATGGCGCTGGCTCGCCCGTACCGGACCCACACGGACACACGGGTCCGTCGGGCGATCGACGGCGCAGATTGCCGCCAAGCGTGGTGCGTGGCGTGGGACCAACGTCATGTGCTCGTGATCGTTCCAAGTGGCCGGAGCCGCGTGTTCCCATTTCTCGATGGTGTGCGGTGCGGCACGGCCGGCCCGGCGCGGTCAACGCTTTAACGCCGCCTGGCACTTACAACCAAACCCAGCATTTCCACACGAATTTGTGACGATTCTCTTGAATTTCAATCTGATACCGCGCACACAAATCTGTTGGCGCTTGTTCGTAAAAGAAATAGCTCTCTCACGGTCTCACCGTAACACCCCATCAAGATACGCCGCTCATATCACTTACAAAGAATAGAAACATTAAATTATAATGAATTTAGAACAATACGAAAACCAGTGTCAAATCTAGAACAAAAGCTAGATAGTTTCTATATGTTCATTAGTTAGGTGTCAACTAAGCAAAACGATAATGCGACATTGGAATTAAAGAAGAGCAATGGTTTTTTAGGCTAGCTTTAGGGAAAGTTTCATCTGCATTTAATAGGTTGTCATGAAAGTATTTTTTATCACATGAGAATGTTTTCAAGAAAAGAAAGAAGAAGTGAGTTTAATGGGGGATGAAATTCTCATTGGCTCGGTTTTCAATTATAGATGAATTATGAATTTAAATATATATGAAACAAAAAAAATGAAGCTATGCATCGAGAGTGATTGTTTCATCTATGTTTCATTGCATTCTATGTGTTTTTTTAAAACAATGCTATGTAACTCTCTATGAGATAAGTGCATCTCCAAAGAGTTCCCAATAAAACCTCATAATCTAGGACTTTTGGCAAGAATAGGAAAAACTATCTCCAACAGTTCCCAATACCACCTCCCAATCTTTTCGTGCTTCAAAAAATAGACCGATCGCCGCGATCTATCCGCGCGTCTCCTAGGCGCGTATGCATCGGCCAATCTAAAGGTGAAAGAGCGTGGAAAAGAATAAAAAGTAGGAAAGAGTTCCTAATGCAAGTGTAAAGAGAGAAAGAATATATAAAGTGGTTAGGAAAATATAGAAATATTATAGCATTTCTGATGTAAAATTATCTTCTATATTTTAAAACTGTTGGAGATGGTATAATTTATTCCTCCCAATATTTTTTGGCAAGCTGGAAAACTCCATGGTTTGAGAAAAAAATGTATTGTGAACTCTTGGAAATGCTCTAAGAAATCATGCCTACACGAAACCAAAATATAGATAGAAAGATGTTAGAGATGATGAAGAGAGAAGACATGTAATTAGATAAATTTTTTTAAAAAAATTATCTATTAGAAATATAGTTTCTTCCTACAGTGTCTACGTGGCTCGGTAAATATAAAAGCCAACTCATAGTTTATGCGATGGGACTGGCCTCGTTGAATATTTCTTGTCCTCAATTATTAACGGGACGCAAAGTTTATTAAAAGCATATTCCGTGCAAGTGGTTGACACTTTGACTAATGACTACACAGAACAGCACGTGATAGCACAAACAGATTTTCCTCGGTTACTCCGAAGTCAAAGAGGTATATTACGTTTCTGAAAATCTGTTTGAACAGCACGTGATAGCACAAACAGTCCATATTCTTTGTTCAAAGAATCACTTTCCAATCTCGAAAAATCAGAAAACCATCCAATGGAGCAATGCTCCATAATTCAGAGTCACCCAGTCGACGTCAGCGATAAATACAAGTCAATTTTTCACCACCTTTCTTTTTTTCTGTGACCACGATAAGAAACTAAAAGAATCTGAAAGGCTCAAAGCCCAACAAAGAAACATCAGAAACGAAGCCTACATTAGCTAACCCAGCCCATTTTTGGCCCAATCAAATTCCACACTGTTAACGGCCCAATTAGAACCTCCCATCCACGCGTCACCCCTTTTTCCCGTTCGTCGGCGCGGCCGCCCCGCCGCCTCCGCCACCTCCGAGCATTGCGGCGGCAGAGTCGACATTGGTGAGTAGATACTCGTAGATCTTCTTTCTTAGCCGCTCTATCGTCTCCTCAGGTACGCCGCAGCCGCCGTTCGCGGGGACAGGGGCGGTGCTCGCGGCGGTCGCCTCACCGTCCGCGTCTGCCCGCGGCAGCGACGGAGCCTCGCTTCGCTTCCCGATCTCGCCGAGCCAGTCGTTGACGCGCTTTAGCTGCGGGAGCATCCTGGCCGCGCGCTCGCGGTCCCACGGCGCCGACGCCGCCACGTCGGCGTCCAGGAACCGCTCCACGAAGCCGAGGAACCAGCCCCTTGACTCCTCTCCGAGCCGCTTCGCCAGCTCGCCCCTCTCCTCGGCGCCTCCTCCCCTCTCCCACTCCGGCGGCGCGGCCGTCGTCGTCAGCGCCGCTGTGGCCGCCGCAGTGCCCGTCCTCGCCTTCCCCTTCAGGGGGGACAGCCGCGACTTGGGGGACGGCGATGATTTCGTTGCCGTGGCCGCGGCCGCCGCCGGCTTCGCGGACTCGTCGACGACGACCACGGCCAGCGGCAAGGAGATGGTGGCAGGGGCCGGTTTGAGGTTGTAGATGCCGAAGGCGGACAGGTCCGTAGCGAGAGCGGCGCTCATCCAGGACGTAGCTCGGCGTCGGCGCTCGGCTGTGATGGCAGCCGCCTCCTCGTCGGTAGCGGATCCCACTGTTCCAGCGTCGCTGGCTGCCGAGCAATCTGGCGAGGCTGCAGATGTGGCACACTTGGTGAGGGTGTCGGTGATCACTGTGGCGCGCGAAAGCGCGGCGTGGAGGGTGAGGAACTGCTCTACGGCTGGCTGCGGGTTCGGCTCCTCCGCCGTGGAGCTCACCTCCGCGTACGAGCTGCTCAGGCAGATACGGTCAGTAAGTAAGAATCAACGCTGGTAACAAAAAAATAAATAAAATAAAAATAAACTAAAAATGCATCGTGCTGCAGCTCTTGCCGTGAACTCTCCAACACACCAAAAAATGTCGTAACAGACTAACCAACTTTTCAACACTTTGAACTACTTCAGCACTAATTTTCAGCGAACGAACAGTGATTTCCTCCCACAACAAAACAGCATAAGCTAAATTTCAGCGAAACGAATTCGACACTAGCAATCATTGGATTAACTGAAGAGCTAGCGATGTAAAACAGGTCCTTTCAGTAGAAGACAGCAGCATGCAGCTACAAGTACAACAGGAGAAACTTCCTGTTTGTCTAGCACAGCACTATACAGTACAATAGCATGGTTCGGAGACAGTTCAGAAACATGTTGATCCATGTCCTGGACCATCTGGATGCCAACAGGCAAAACAAACACACAGTACAAGCCAAGGCATCAACTGTATGCAAACCAGTATATTCACAATTCACAATACAAGATTTCTTTTCCCTGTTCTCTGGGTTGTACCTTCTGCAAGCTTGTACTTTCTAGCATGTCCAAATGGGCAATTCACAGATGTTTACAGATAGTAGTAACTCAGAATGCCAATTATTATGTTTTGAACTTCAGATCTTTGGTAAAGTCTAGGTTAACCCATGCGAGTTAATCTTGATGTGTAAAAACATTTTTTATTTGAAAAAAAAACATGTGTAAAAACATTCATAGCTAACGTTCTGCCCTCAGATCAGAAAAAGGAAGATGGATAGCAGGGACCACTCCAGCATGGGTCTCGAGCTCCAAAAGGGAGGAACCGAGCTGGTTGATAATCATGTTTGCTTCTCTTATAATCCGTCTTTTTCAACTTTTTTTCAGGCAGAACAGTGTTTCTCTCACAACAAATCAGCCGGAACAATGTTTCGACGTTTTTTTCAGCGAAGCGAATGGGGTTGCAACATGCTAGACAGCTCGAATTGAGACAGTTGGACCATGAGATGAGACCTACGGGTTATTCATGATCTTGCCCCAGTGAGGTGCAATCAGAAACCAACCATGTGACAATGAACAGCAGGCTTTGCTAAAAGCACAGCTGATACCACCTGTCCTGATTCCCAATCACCATGTCCTGTATCTAGCATGTTCGTCGGCACGGGAACAGGCAATCAAGGCTGTCTACGGCCAGATGCATGTGATCTTTGAAGGCTTCATAAGGCTTGTCCTTGGAGCATAGTTGACTCATTTCTACTAAAGGATTTCAAGAATATTGGAACAGCAGAAGAGCAATGCTGGAGAGCACAGAAGTGTAAAATGTGAAAATTTGGCAGAAGATTGATTCATGATGATTTTTGCTAATTTGAATTAACTGGAAGCAGAGTATGCTGATACCAGTAGGTGCCACATCTTCTGCATAACTGGATAGAAGCTAGCAAAATATGGCAGGTTTCCAAATCAAACCACAAGATTCTCTTGTACCATATTTTAATAGACAGACCATCAAGCATGTGATGCCATCTAAGTGTCAAACATACGTTTATAGTTATCTATAAGCTAGGGATGCTTTGCCCGATTTAAGTACAGAATAAAGTTGCAGTTTGAAAAGAATATAAGCATCAGGAGATACAAGATAGGGATAAAAGAATGGATTGAATAGCAAAACAACTCGGTCAGAGTCATAGGGAATATATCAAACGGACAAATGGTATGTCTTATGTCATAGTCTACCAATAAGAAAATGTGCCTAGAATTAGTTAGAAAACATACAAAACTTGTTATAATCATAGGGCTTGTATCCAGAAGAATAAGTACCTCAAACATCTGAGCAAGCCCTCTGCAGCGGAAGCTTCTTGCATGGCTTCAACAGCAGCTATTTGTGCTGATTCCCTGTACTTCAGAAGCTCCTGTCACAGACACGACAGGGTATGCCAATTTAAAGTTTGCAATACTCAGAAATGTTTGATCTTTCAAACTATTGTGGAAGCAAAAGTTTAAAATCATATCAATTGTGTCAATGAATTTTAGCATACCTTTCCTAGTTTGGCAAGTGATGGAGGGAGTGATGTCCATGAAGTGCTAATATCTGTTAGTTTTTTGCTGTTGGGAGGAATCTTCACTAGATTTGTAACATTTGAGTTTCCTAAAACCCCAGAAGTTCTCTTTACAGTAGGAATATGCTTCTTAACTGCTTTGTCAACGTCATCTGAGGGAGCACTTGCGGTGCTCTTCCTAGCAGCTTTCTGACTATCATCTTTATGTGGCACCTTCTCATCCACCAGTGATTTTCGTCTAGGAGTCTGCATATTAAGAGTGTACTTAACTTTGAGTAAAAATAAATGGTCGGTGCAAATGGGAAGAACGCCATCACATTTCCTTGCCAGTTGCCACACATGATGTCATTGACGAGACAGTAATAAACAGATATTATGAGATACAGTCTCTAGTATCCATTATCACTGGGAATTCTAAAAGTTGAACAAACCTGAAGAAAGTGGCTGAACCCAGTGGTCACTAGTCACATAAACTAAATGCATTTTCTATACACTGATAGAGAGAGTCAGCATATTACATACCATTGGGATCTTGTTATCAGACTTCCTGTCAGGTTTGGATATCTTTGATTCTGAATTGCCTTTTCCTTTAATATCCGTGTTTCCTTCCCAGCTTCTTCTCAAGGCCTTTGGCCCTGATCCAATACTCAACACAGAGCTACTGATTGAATTGCCAGCAAAGGACTTTCTCCCGGCACTAGTAGCCTTCAAAACAGAAGCAGCCTTTTCTAACAAGGAAAGCCTAGAAGATGAAGCTTTCTCTGCTCCTTTTACTTTGTTCCTCTGTTTCAGATCATTAGAGAATCTGTCGAATGATGCAGGTAGAGAATAGACACTGGTTGGTGATGAAGGTGTCGACCTAGTAATAGCTGGCTTCACCTTTGATTTAACTGCTTCCTTCTTATCACCAATCCCATTCAAAGCTTGTCTTGACAGTGAAGAGTTTGATTTGGTGAGCATCGGCTTCTTATTTTCCGCCCCAGTAGGCTTGCGCGAAGCATTTATTTTCTCCAATTTGCTCGTTTCCTTTTCTAGTGACAAGATGCTGGCATCCTTCATTCCATTTGGTGGCGGCGCCTTCTTGCTGCCATGGAAATTGGAGGAGCTGGTCACCACAAGATCCTCAGGGGTGCCAACACAAGCATGGCGACCAGGAACTGGACGGACTCCTCTAAGGATGGGAACAGGAGTGGCTGCCTCTAGACGGTCCACATGGATGAACTGGCCCAGCTGAATCTTGTCGCTCAAGATGAGATCATGCTGTTCCTCTGGAAGGGAAACATAGGTCGCATGGGATGAATCCGACACCTTGAGGTAGAACCCTTGGTTGGTGAAAAGATCTCTCCCGGCGAGCGCTGGGACAATGCTGACAACCTGAAGGAGCGAGGACCGATGCTCGCCGGAGACTTTTACATCCGTGTTCATATGCTGAAGGAGCTTCACGAGGACACCGGGCACCAATGAAGCCATTGTCGTGAATCCTTAAGCACATTACTCTGCATTGTCCAACCAAAACAATGCGATCATCATCATCATCCTCATGTAAAAGCACGGGACAAATTGGAACCAAAAAGTAGAAATCCGGCAGGCAACCTGGCAGTTCCTAACGAAAGTGAGACCAACACCCCTGAATGCAATAAAGGTTGCAACTTTTTCGTGAATGTGATGTGCAGAAGAAACCTGGCTCACAAGGCACTGCGGATCGCATTTACTCATACGATACCAAGAATCGCCGCACGGTGATTCAAGTACGGAAGGGAACCTTAAGAATCGCACGGAGACAAGCGATAATTCCAGAAAGGACACAAATGAAGAAAATCAAGCAAACCTATTGAAGAGTTTTATCACTAAATTGACAGAAACCACAGAACCCTCCTGAATGGCACAGGTGGTTATGCAAGAAGTGCCGCTCCAAAAACAAGTAATGGAGGGAGTACGCCTGGGGAATATATGTCTTCGCTTATAAGGAAATGAATTGAACTCGGTCCAAACCGAAACATGCTCAACAGACGCCACAAGAGGTAGGAGGTAGTACTCCACATACTAGTAGCAGAAGTCATCAAGGGCATCAATGTGGGCGGCGGTGGTCCTGTCGTCCCCGAACCCAACTTTTTCCCTCGACAAAGAAAATCTTGAAAAGAGAGGAAGAACACCACCAAGGCACCAACCAAATCTTGCGCACAAAAAGTAGTACCACCGGTTGCCCTATCAATTCGTGCAACCTTAAACAACCGCTGAATTCGACGCGAAGCAATTAGCGGAGGATATAACAGAGAGGAGCAGACACTTCGCAATCAACCGTCCGCCTCAGCCTCGGCGCACCGACCCCAGGGCTGTCCTGAACAAGTGTTCCTTCTCCCTGGTCGGAGGAAGCGGCAAGCAATGGCATGTATTTGGGGGGAAAGAGTCGCTTGGGTGCAAACGCGACGGCAAAACCGCAAAAGCAAAGCGCTCGAAGAGGAAGGGGAAGGCGAAAAATCTTGAACAGGGGAGTAGGAGGAGGATGAGGAGGAATCGGGGGAACGCGAACCTCTCGGCGGAAATCCGCGCGCCTCGTGGTGGTTTCTTCTCCTCCGGCTTTGCAGTGGGCGCACGGAGGGAGGAAAGGCTGGCTTGGATTGGAGCAAAGCTGGCTTCCACCGGCTCACCGCTCGTGGGGTACGCAGCTCCGCCCTGCTGCGTCGCGGGGTACGCAGGTCCGGTCAGAGGAGTGGGGTGGGGGACGAGCGCGGCCGCGCGCGTCAGTCGTCACATCCAGGAAAAACAAGTCAAGGATCCCTCTCCCGCTCCCGCGCGGCTCCGGTCTCCAGTCCACTCGTTGCCTTTGGCTTGGCGGTGGCTGCCTCCAGCCCTGGACCGCGCTTGCTCCAGCCGAGAGGAGCAGAGAGAGAGCGAGCTACTAGAGACGGATCTCTCTACATCAGTACACCTCTTTCTCTGCCGCTGCTGCTTGGCTGTGGGATGTGGGAGTGGAGAGGCCGGGCGGGCAGCGGCGAGGGGTGGGGGTGCCCAGCCCAGGCGGCAGTTGTAACCGTAGCGAGCAGCTGACACACGCAAGCCAGGCACAGCCAGCGGGCGCGTCCACTGTGCTGCCTGCGTGCAGCAGCACAGGCCTCAGGCACAGCAAGGCAGTCACCCGTCGTGGCCGGCCTTGCGTGGTGTGCAGTAGACAGAGACAGACTGGGTGGGTGTGTGGTGCCGTGGTGGTGGTAACTGTTGCGATGAGCCGTTGCTTTCCTCGGGCCAAGGCCAAGGGGGGCAGACAAGCTTGGCCGTTTGGGCATTGGGAGAGCAGGTTCCTCCATTCTTTATTCGCATCACGTTTGTTTCGAAAAAGAGACGAACAGAAAAGAGAGCAGCCCCCATCCCTTCCTCTGATTTTGCACGAATCTCCCGCGATTGAATTCGACACCAAGCTTGATTTGGCAACGAGTTCTCCACGCCTCGGATCCGAATTCCCGTGTTATTACTTACGTACGTAATTAATAGTCGCAACATGGTAGGGATCCGTAATGTACAGTGTACCGTTCATCTTGTGCTTGTGCACGAGGGGATCCGAATCCGAACAGTGGCCGGAGCAGTAACATGCCGGTCCTGCTACCGCCACCGATTGAATTGAATTGATTAGCGACGACGACGACGGCGACGAAGCCGGCGAGTGATTGGCACCCCGTAACCACCCCGCGTAAATGTCTTGTTCGTTTGTCTGTTAATTCGTATTTTTTAATTTATTTTTTTAGTCAAAACAGTATTTTTCTATATAATATTTCGGTTTATTTTTTAAACGAAACGAACGGGCCAATGCCGCGCTGGCCGGTCGATTATACGTTGTAATCACTCGGTACTGCTAATCGACGCGGAACAGTCGTGCCGTCGTGGCCTACTCCACCTGCCGTGTCTTCTCTTCTTCTTCAACCAACCACCGCCTTGCTGCAACCATGGTGGAGCCATGTGGTCGGGGGACGATAAGCTGCCCACAGGTAGCCAGGTGGAAGCATTACATTGTAGGTGTACGTCCATTTGCTTAGGGCATGTTTGGATAAATTATGGATTTTTAAAATTTAGTTTTTGCCTCTAGTTTCTAAAATCTGGATTCCAAACAAAAACCGGTAAGATGTTTGGATCCCCTAATTTTTAATAATATGGTTCATTTATTGCTCTATAAATCGTAAAAACTAGCAAAAATCGGGTATCAACATCTTCCTAGTTTTTAAGAATTTGATAAAAACGGACAGCAAAAACTAAGTGTTTAGCCAAATTCTTAAAACTGGGGAGATCCAAAGAGAACCTTAGTGACGCAATTCATTTGAATATACTACTCCTACGTGTGTGTTTTCTGCCAGTGCCGGCCGGCACATTCACTTCCTGATTCATAATTCCGTATCATTTCCTAGATGGTTATTACATTTGCTCTCTAGTACTACAGCCTGTTCGCTTGCTCGTATACGATCGTGGATTATAAGTTAGAATAATATTTTTTCTCTCATACCAAACCAACTAGCAATAAATAATTCACGATTGTTTACGACGAAACGAAAAGGCTCTAGTTGCCATCTTTGGAACACATGTGGTGGACCAAGCGAAAGGGTCGGTCAGCGACTAGAGCGAGTGAAGCTGCTTTTGCAGTAGTTGTTGGTGAGGACCCGCACGCCTTTCTCGGGTCGTTCCTGCAACGCCTAGAACACACGGACCCGCACGTAAATTCCTGACGCGCACGCAGTCGACTTCTTCCTGTATCGGTGGCACGCCGGACCCGCACGTAAATTCCGCGCGCGCATGTGGTGCGTGGCGGTGGTGGTGGCCGCCGCCCGGCGCCCGCTGGGGCTGCGTCGGACGTCCGGTGACCGGTGCCGACTGCCGAGCAGCAGCAGTTGAGCAGCGCGATGCCACGGTCACCGCGGAGACAAAGGCGAGAGGCAGCATGCGGACGGACGGAGGGCCGGCGTGCCGGGTCTCGTCGGGTGGAGACGGGGGCGGCCGTGCATTGCAATGCACCTGGTGGACCTGGGGGCACGGCACGGGCACCGGCGCACACCACACACAGCAGCTGCGCCTGCGTCTACGCTCCACGGTCCACACATACATGCGCCGCGGGCGTGATCCATGGACCGCGTGGGGCTCGTGCGCTAGCGCCGGCGAAATCGCCACGCCATCTGACCGGCCCCGCCGCCCCGGGCCCGGAAACACGCGCGCTCCGGCAGAGCCTGAGGTGGGAGTGGGACCGAGACGAGGTGGTTGCGTGACGTGTGCGTCCAACTGTGATGAAGCGCCGCGGGAGCAAGTCTGAACCCGTCAGTGTCAGCAGCTAGTAGAGAATCATGCGACGTTGGATGACCTTGTGGCCAAATGCCAAGGAGATGATGCTACTGCTACGCACGCCTGATGGTACAAAGAACAAGACAAGATTCGAGCCCCCCGTTACGGTTATCGAGCGAGTTCGTTTGGTGAGGAGCTCGCGCTGGTAACCGAGCACGAGCAGACAACGGCTAGACGACGACGACGGCGCTGCGTGCAGGAGCAGGAGGAGGAGGCTGCTGGGGTGCTGGCTGCTGCCGCCCTCTGGTCGAGGCGTCGAGCGCAGTCTTGTTTACGCGAGGTGGCAGGGCGACAGGGCAACAGTGGGACGTCGAGCCGTCGACGCGGAATGGGCCGTCAACAGCCTTTTAAAACACTGTTCGCTTGGACCCTAGCGGTACAGGGTTTTTCTCTCTATCGGCCGCAGAAACTAGCCCCGTATGGGCCGGCGGGAGCCGTGCGGTTAGTTAGAAAAAGATGGCCCTCCCCCCCACCCCCCCGCTGCCCATGCCGCCGGACGCCCGTATGGCCGTGTGCCAATGCAACAGGGGTGGGTGTCTCCGCTCGCTTGCACTCTAGGCAAAGCAGGAGATTCCTGCATGAAATGCAACCTGCGACTAAAATATGCTACTGCCTATCGCCTGCTCAACTAGAGCTGGACGAATCGTTTGTGCCGACATTAAAATCATTCGGTTTCATAGTGCTGCTAAGTTGAGCCTTTCACCAAAAAAAAGTGCTACTAACTAGACTTTTTCCAGTAAAGTTGAGCGCGCGTTTAGTCCCCCAAAGTTGGATTTTGGGTTACTGTAGTACGTTCGTTTTTATTTGCCCAATAGTGTTCAATCATGGACTAATTAGGCTCAAAACGTTCGTCTCGCAATTTCCCACCAAACTGTGCAATTAATTTTTTTTCGTCTACATTTAATGCTCCATGCACAGACCGCAAACATTCGATGTGACAGGTACTGTAGCAACTTTTTGAAATTTGGGGTCCAACTAAATAAGGGCTGAAGAAATTTCTCGAAAATGAAAGGCTCAAGGTTGCTGTAGCCTGTAGTGATTGTACTGCACCTAGGCTCGCAATTCTCATGGTACTCTTCCATGTTCACAACAGATTTTAATGTGGAGAGTGAGTTTTCGTCGGCCCATCATTCCTCATTTCACCAGAAATTTAT